ATCAGAACCATCACTGACGGGACGGGTCCATCAGAACCATCACTGACTGGACGGGTCCATCAGAACACTTCCCGTCAGATGCTGAAGGTCAGAGGAGGAAGAGGAGGCTCAGTCTTCGGTCTCTCCTTCAGTTTCATGAAACAAGTTAACTTTCTGGTTCTGTTTATTTAACGATGGTCCAGTTTCTTCTGTGGATTCAGTACCTGGTTGGTTTGGATTCGCTCTAATCAGACCAGCACAAAGTTGAAGGTGGAGGCAGGTGTGGGTGCTTCACCTATCCCACCCACATTTTGATGTTTGTACCAGGAGTCGAACCAGCGATCTTCCGATCACAGGCCCATCTTCTCTAACCTCTGCGCCACCACTACCTTCTCACTTGTCATTCTCTAAAAACTTAATGTTTATTTTCCTTCAACCTTTATTTCTACAGGTTAATCCCATTGAGCCTCGAGGACTCATTGACAACAGAGACCTGATCAAACAAAGAAAGATGACAACAATGGACAAGAAGGACAACAATAGTCAATTATAAAGGATGCGTACAAATTATTATTATTTTTTTAACATGTGAAAATAAAATGGTAATTAACACGAGAAGTAGCAAAAAACCCAGCTAGGTTGGAAGGCCATGTAGAATACTAAAGTCCCTGGGCGCATCCCTAGGGAGGTGCTTCAGGTGTGTCTGACTGGGAGGAGACCCCGGGGAAGACCCAGACCCAGACTGGGAACACCTTGGAGTCCTCCCAGAAGAGCTGGAAGAGGCTGTGGAGAGACATGTCTGGACCTCCCTGCTCAAGATGCTGCCCCCAGACCTGAGTCCAGAACAAGAGGATGATGATGGGCTTGATAAAAATGAATCAATCACTCAATGAAAATATCAATCAAGTATATTTTTTATCAATCTGACTGAAAGTCAGTTTTTGGTCCTTGTTTTTCATCATCATGTGTATGAACCTTTCTGACCTGATGATGAACTTGTGTGTTTCTGACCTGATGATGAACTTGTGTGTTTCTGACCTGATGATGAACTTGTGTGTTTCTGACCTGATGATGAACTTGTGTGTTTATGACCTGATGATGAACTTGTGTGTTTATGACCTGATGATGAACTTGTGTGTTTATGAACTGATGATGAACTTGTGTGTTTATGAACTGATGATGAACTTGTGTGTTGCAGGGGAATGATGAAGAGGCGGTGTTGGACCAGGGGAAGACCAGCTCCACCCTCAACACCAACTTTGAGAAGGAGGAACTGGAGAGTGAGTTTCTGAGGAACGCTGATTCAAAGAGTCCGTCTGTGTTTACAACCAAACACAAAGTAACAGAACCGACCCGGCCCGTGTTGACACTCGCGTTCCTCCGTGGCTGCTGAGTTCATCCTGAACAGATTTATAAACAGATCAGCAGCTGACAGGAAGAGAAGCAACATTTACAAAAATAAATCTTTAAAACCGTTTATTTCATCAGAGCCAAAGCTTTGGAGCATCAACGAGGATGGAAACATCCATCAACTCTCTGAAGAGGGACGGAGGATTTTTTTAAATAAAAAAAAATTAGTTTTGTTTCTGCGTAATAAAAAGTTTTAAATCATAAAAATGAAAACATCTTCAGTTTGAATTTTTCCGGTTGACTTCAGCTCATTAATTTGAAGGTTGACATGATTTTCTGGCAGAATATTTAAAGAACTTGATGAGGTCCTGATGATGATGATGATGATGATCCAAATGGTTCAGAACATTTAGTGCAAATAAAATTTGGATTCGATCCAACTGTAGATGAACAGATGCAGAGATATATTCATACATTAAACGGGTTCTTCATTTTTCTGACTGTGTAGCATGCGTGCATTGAATTTAACAGAAATGTAACGAGAGACGTTATTTATCTTTGACCCATCAAAATGAATGCGGTCATTTATTTACAGAATCAAAGATTAACATCAAACATTTACATTAATTTGGCAAAATATGAAAATAACAACATAATCAATCAATCAGGAAAACCATACGGCCATGATTTTCCGTTGCTTCACCACAGACATTAATGAAAACATCTGGATTAATTTTCTAGCAGAAAGGAGAGTTTAAAGATGGAAAATTGAGATTTATCTTACAGAGAGATGTGTGAGGGAATTTATCTGTTTTAACCAGAACAGCACGCTCCATTGAAATCAGCTTGGCCAACGGTACGCTTGGTCGAAATAGAACTTTTACCTTGCAGACGATAGCTTCAGCGTCGGTGTAGAGCTCTCCTTTTGACTCTTTCAGCGTCTCCGTGAGGACAGCTAAAACCTTAGGAGTCGTGCGAGGTTATCCAAACAGAAGTTATAATTCCCAAAATCGTCTCTGGTTCAGCTTGTTTGGTTTCCAAGAACTCTGAACTCCTTCAGAACTCTGAACTCTTGAACTCTGAAACTCTGTAACCCATCTCTTCTCAACTCTTCTCAACTCTTCTCAACTATACTGTTGAACTGGGAAGTTGCCACATTTAAAATGGGCTCTACTTCCGGTTCATTTGAGAGCTTTCTGATTCGTGGATGGACCAGAACAGAGGTGTGGTTTGTGATGTAAGGTGTTATGGAAAGTCAAGGATTGTTTAAGAACAGACAGAAAGATATCATGGGAAAACCAGACTTCGTGGTGCCACTCCTCCTAGTATCTGCTGTGAAAGTTAAACATGACATTTCTTTTCAGTAAACTTTTTAGTTGACTGAACCTCGAACTTTAACACACTTACAAATTTGCTCATTGAAGACAGAAAAATCAAGAAATGCATATTACCCTGATTTCTTCTTTGAATGAGGAATAAAAATCATTACTACTGTTTCACAGTTAATAAAAATGAGTAGTTCACTTCCACATGTAAACATTGTTTGAACTAACACAATTTGATTATCAAACATTTGTAAAATAGTAATGATCATAGAGAATTGTCTTTTCCACTTGATTAATTCAAGAAAGAAAGTCTCAGGATGGGTCAAACTGTATTTCTGGATGCAGATCAATGAAATGACAGTTTCTGTCCCACAAGGTTCTTAAGGTCAAGGGTTTTGACCTTAGGCTTAGTTTTGACATCAGGTTAAGTTCACTACACAACAAACATTGATATGAATCTTTACTAAGGGTTTAATTTCTGCCTTAAACAGTTTGTGAATTAAAGATCAAAGAACTTTCTTCTTGTTTGCTTTTATTTCTTTTAGTGCTAATTAAACAAAACTCATTATTAATTAATTATAAATTAATATATTAATATTACTTATATAATATAATTAACACTTATTTCATCAGCTCTAAAACGTAGGGTTTTTTTGTTTTTTGTTCCAGAAACTAACTTTTCATTGAATTTAAAAGAATAATTTGGTTAGGCTGATGACTCAGAGGTGGAATCAGGAGTTGTTTGGGCGTCTCTCTGTGTCTTCAGGCCACCGAGCCGTTTACGTCGGCGTTCATGTCCCTCTGGGCCGGGAGAGCCGAAGGCGGCACCGGCACCGAGGACACCGACATCACCGCAAACGGAGGGACCGCTTGGACCGAGAGGACGGACAAGAGTCGCCCATCTACGGTGAGTGATCCGAGACAAGACATTGAGGATGATGATGATGACGGCGTGACGAAGGGTGTGTCGTCCTGTCCTCAGACACGCCGTCTCAGAGGGTCCAGTTCATCCTTGGGACGGAGGACGACGACGAGGAGCACATTCCCCACGACCTGTTCACAGAGCTGGACGAGCTGGCCTTCAGGGACGGAGACGTCCAGGAGTGGAAGGAGACGGCCAGGTGAGACGTTGAACTCTTTATTTAAAAGACTTCTGGTCCGGTTTGCAAAGTCCTGGTCCAATTTTAAGCTTTTTGGTGTCCCCCGTCGCAGAAGAAAAGGGGAATTGAAAATACCCTCCATTCATCTGTCCGTCCATGCACGTTGTGAGCACGATAACTTGAAATGTAAGTCGGGTACTGACTTCCATTTCAGTGTGTGGCTGCATGTAGGAGGAAGAAAGGTCTCCATCAAAACTGCAGCCACATCCAAATCCAAGATGGCTGCCGCAACAAATAAGTGTAACCTGACCACCTCGATCATTTGAGGAAACTCTGCTTTCTAGTTTTTACTTTACTTAAAACTACAGTTTCCTCAAATCGTTAGGGTGACTGGAGATTTTTCTATGGGGGCCAAGGCCACCATTGACCCCCCACTGGCTCCTCCCCTGCACCTGGTGTTGATGGAATGTCTCCCTCCAGGATCCATCAGTCTGCTCTGCCTCAGATAAGACAGAAAACCTCCCTCAGTTCTCCACAGAGGAACTCCTCCTCACTTGACTATCTTCATAAAAACATCTAGGTTTGCTTCATTCTCTGTTCAGTTCCAGAGAAACATCATGAAACTACAAACATCCACTGCTCACAGTCTCTGAGCCGGGGACGTGGAGGTGCAGCAGACACACAGAAGCTGAGAGTTCTGCTTTTAGCTGCAGGCTGATGGTTCTGGTGGGAGGAGACACATTTGCTGTTTCTGCAGGACGTTTGAGCTTCATCCAGGCAGAGTTTAACTTCAGGAGGAGTGAGGAGGACCATGTGGTCTTCATCAACCCTCACCTGCAGAACATGTGGGTTAGAGTTCCCCACAGGTGTTTGATGCCTCGCGCTGCTCTCTGAGGTTCTCAGCAGACTCTGAGGAGCCAGGAGACCTTTGAGCAAGGCGTCCTCATGTCTGCTTCTGTTTGTCCTCTCAGGTGGCTGAAGTTTGAGGAGGACGTGGAGGACGGCGGGGACCGCTGGAGCAAACCGTACGTGGCCACGCTGTCTCTGCACAGCCTGTTCGAGCTGCGCTCCTGCATCCTGAACGGCACCGTGCTGCTCGACATGAGGGCCAGCAGCATCGAGGAGATCGCAGGTCAGCACGCACACCGGGCCCAAGAAGCCTCTGGAGCTCTGATCAACTTTAGAGACGGACCGTGTAGCAGGACACCGTCCGCTGTCTCTCGAAGACCACGTTTATTAATGAGATCTTTAAATAAAATCAGGTTAAAGTTTCACTCCAGATAAAAAGTCCTGGTCCTCAGATCTTTGTGTGAAAGATCCAGATGTTCCTGTCATCTGGATCAGCAGCGCTGCAGACCTTGGCTGTTTTCTGTTTGGGTCCTGTTGGATGTCCCAGCAGGACGTCTTCCTGGACAACAAGCGTTGGACAGAACCACATTGTTGGAGCTCGAGTCCTTTTTTCTGTTAACTGTGTCTCTTTGGTTCTGATCAGGGGCACACAGACACTGAAGGTCCAGTTTAAACTTCAGGTTCTGTTGAGTCGACCCGACTGGTTCCTTCTTTGAGTTTAGGAATCTTGTTCTGCTTGAACCGGGTCAGAGTTTAAACCGTTCCCCTGAACTTGATTGTGTGCCTCCCCACAGACATGGTGATTGACAGCATGCTGGCGTCGGGTCAGCTGGAGGAGGGGCTTGACGAGAAGGTGCGAGAAGCCATGTTGAAACGGCACCACCATCAGAACGAGAAGAAGCTCAGCAACCGCATCCCGCTGGTCCGCTCCTTCGCCGACATAGGCAAGAAACACTCCGACTCCCACTTACTGGACCGCAACGGTGAGAGGCCCGGACGCTCTGTCAGCCTGACGCTCGGTTCTGAGTCGACCCGGTTCACAAGCAGGAAATGAAAAGTTCTCACTAAACCCTTATTTTACATTTGATTTGTCATGAAATGGATCTTTCCTTTAAGTTTACAGACTGAAGGTCTGTCCGTTTGTGAGCAACGTCTTTGTTTTATGTTTTCATCAAATCTCAGATTTCATCTTGACGTTCTGAAAAACCGTTCAAATCAGAACCTGATTTTATTTCATCTGTACTCAGCAGAACTTTTACCTTCTGAGAACCTGCAGCTAAATGGAAGAAATGATACAACAAAAAACATTTGAACAACCAGATAATCAGTTTAAAATAACTAAAATCCGTAAAATATCTTCTATTTTCAGTTTATTAAACAGAACTGAAGTCCAACAATCAAGTTTCTATAGTCAGGCTTTTTATGAGTTGATTTGTTTCTCTGTAAAGTTGGTCCAGATTTTCCTCAGAGTTTATGAGCAACATGTTGAGCTTCTGGGGATTTTACAGCATTATTTAAAAAAAACTGTCGACTCCATTAAATCATGACTTTTTACCTTTTTAATGTTGGAGACATCTGATCAGATCAGTTGAGACATGTAAAAATAAATTGTTTTTCACACAATTGCATCTCAGATTAACAGGAGAAACTGTTACCTCGTTAAAAACTACTAATCTGTGGGATTTATTGTGAAATTACATCACTTTGAAAACTGGAACAAAACAAGTACAGTAACTGCATGGTGCGTTCAGGTTCCACTTTCTAAATGTAAAAAAAAAACATTGTGAGTTCAAACTGATCTTCTTTCAGGTTTTCCCTCTTCAGGGGTCTCCACAGCAAGTCATCCTCCATCTCACTCTGTCCTGCCTGGACTGTCTTCTTCACCTCTTTACTACACTCCACATGTTCCTGGACAGTGGACCCCAAGTCCTTGAAGTCCTGCACCTTTGTGACCTCTGCTCCTTGTAGTCTCACTGTTCCACCTCCTCCCTCTCATTCACACACATGGACTCTGTCTTACTACGACTGACTTTCATTCCTCTTCTTTCAAGTGCATACCTCCACCTCTCCAAGTTCTCTTCCACCTGTTCCCTGTTCTCACCACAGATCACAACGTCATCTGCAAACATCATAGTCCACGGGGATTCCTACTTGACCTCATCTGTTAGTTGGTCCATCACCAGAGCAAATAAGAAGGTGTTCAGAGCTGATCCTTGATGCACTCCCACCTTAAAGCTATCTGTCACTCCTACAGCACATCTCACCACTGTCCTGCTGTCCTCATATATGTCCTGCTGTCTTCATACATGTCCTGCTGTCCTCATACATGTCCTGCTGTCCTCATACATGTCCTGCTGTCCTCACAAATGTCCTGTACCAGTCTAACATACTTCTCTTCCACTCCAGATCTCCTCATGTAACACCACACCTCCTCCCTCTGCACCCTGTCTGATACTTTTTCTAAATCCACAAAGACACAATGGAGTTCTTTCTGACCCTCTCTGTACTTCTCCATCATCATTCTCAAAACAAAGATGGACTCTGTGGTGCTCTTTCTCTTTCTTGGCATGAAACCATCCTGCTGCTCACAGATAGTCACCTCTCATCTAAGTCTTGCTTCCACAACTCTCTCCCAGATCTTCATCGTGTGGCTCATCAACTTAATTCCCCTGTAGTTGCTACAACTCTGTACATCACCCTTGTTCTTAAAAATGGCCACCAGCACTTCTTCTCCATTCCTCAGACATTTTCTCACCCTCAAATATGTCATTGAATATTTGAGTTAAAACCTCACTGCCATCTCTCTCCAAGACATTTCCAAACCTCCACTGGTCATCAGGTCCTACTGCCTTCCCCTTCTTCATTCTTTTCAGAGCTTTCTGGACTTCACCCTCACTAATCTTTCCCACTTCCTGGTCCACAGTTTCTATGATCTCTACTCTTCTTTCTCTTTCATTCTCTTCATTCATTAGCTCCTCAAAGTACTCCTTCCTTCTTCCCATCACACTCTCCTCACTTGTTAGAACATTACCATTCCTATCATTAATGAGCCTAACCTGCTGCACATCCTTTCCAGCCTGATCCCTGTGTCTCACCAATCAGTGCAAGTCCTTCTCTCCCTCTTTAGTGTCCAGTCTCCCATACAACTCATCATACACCTTCTGCTTTGTCTTAGCTACCTCCCTCTTTGCTCTACGTCCCATCTCCTTATATTCCTGTCTCCTCTCTTCAGTCCTCTCTCTGTCATATTTCTTCTTGGCTAACCTCTTTCTTTGAACAGCTTCCTGCACTTCACTATTCCACCACCAGGTTTCCTGAACATCCACTCTCTGTCCAGATGACACACCAAGTACCTTCCTACATGTCTCTCTAATTACTGTTGCTGTAGTAGTCCAGTCATCTGGAAGCTCTTTCTTACCACCCAGAGCCTTTAACAGCTCCTCTCTGAATTTCTCACAACATTCTTCCTTCTTCATCTTCCACCATTTGGTCTTCTTCTCTGATTTTACTCTTTTTCTCTTCTTCACAACAACAGTCATTCTACACACAACCATCCGATGCTGTCTGGCCACGCTCTCCCCTGCCACAACCTTACAGTCTCCAATCTCCCTCAGGTTTCCTCTTCTACACAGAATGTAGTCGACCTGCGTACTCCTTCCTCCACTCTTATAGGTCACTCTGTTTCCTTCTGGTTCCTTCGACAACATGTCCATTCAGGTCTGCTCCCATCACCACCCTCTCCTCCCTGGGAATACTCTCCATCACTTGATCCAGATCTTTCCAAAATGTATCTTTCTCCTCCACATCACATCCAACCTGTGGAGCATAACCACCGACAATATTTAGCATCAGACCTTCTACTTCTACCTTCAGACACATCATCCTATCTGACACTCTTTTCATCTCTATTACATTCTTTGCCAACTCCTCCTTCGGTACCACCCGTACTCCATTTCTCTTTCTATCCACACCATGGTAAAACAGTTTGAACCCTGCTCCAATGCTCTGAGCCTTGCTGTCCTACTTGGTTTCTTTGACACATAAAACATCTACCTTCCTTCTCAGCATCATGTCAGCCAGCTCTCTGCCTTTGCCTGTCATTGTCCCCACATTTAGAGTTGCAGCCCTCAGTCCTACATTCTTCACTTTTCCCTTCGCCCTTTGTCTCTGACACGTTTCACTCCTCGTGGTCTTCGACTGATGAATTCAGTTATTACTTAACAATTGTAACATAATTATTTTTCAGGTCTAAAAGTCACAAGATGGCAGATAATAAAATCTAATTTTAATATTGGCTACAACATCAAACTCAAAACTAGGTAATTACTTTTATAAAATTAACATTTGTGTGTAGCTTTTTTGGATTATACAGTAACTGGTTTCTTTTTCGTTTTATGTTTAACTTGTTTACGATAAAATCAGTTTGTTTGTTTGTTTTTTTTTGTTTTATTTGCTTGTTTCTGAGCTGCTCCTTCTCTGCGATTAGAACATAAAAACTTTTTTTATTTTTTATTACTGGTAACTTGTTTCATTTTTCATGTTTTATTTCTGAGTTTTTGGCTTCAGTCATCTGTTGCCGGGCAGAGTTCAGCTAGTCCAATCTGATTGGCTGAGGAAACGGGGTGACAGAGCGACAGGTCCTGTGATTGGTGCACGGTGTTTGCATGCTGTTGAAGTGCTTTGAGTCTTTGGATGATGATGTTGTTTAAGAAAGTCAATCAGTGAGAGCTGATGTTTCTGATCATCTGATGGTGATTAATAATTATCAGCAACCAGTTGTTGACATCAGCTGTTTGTTTTATTCCGGACAGCGCTGACCGACCCGCTGAGTTTGTGTTTTAATAACCAGCTAACATCCTGTTGTGGCTGAGTGTTTTATTAACTCCAGTTTCACAGGAATGTTTGATGACCTGAAGACCAATTTTAAACTTTAATAAACTCGATATCTGAACTCCCATAGTTTTGGATACATTCAAGTTTTTTTTTTTTTATTAACTCAATGTAAAAACAAAAACACTTAAATAATAAAACTACAAACTAATAAATGTAGAGGAAAAAATAGGCACCAGGAAGTCATCATAGAATCAGTATCTCATCAATAATTTCTAATAAATCTTTATACAGCTTGTTTCTACAAGGCTTTATTACAAGATAAATTTAGCCTTCACTTCCTGTTTGAAGAGGAAATTCTGAGCACAGAAAAAACAGAAGTCAGTGGGTGTGTGACCTCTGACCTCTAGGAGTATTGGAGAAAAAAAAGAAAGTGTTTTTCCTGATTTGTTTAATTTCATCACCTTTGTTTTGATGTCCTGCTTCCAAAAGTCAGAATAAGAGCGAATAGTGGAAATGAAATATGATACATTGATTAAAACCTTTGAATTGATAATTGAACGTGAACTTGTTACTGTAAATGCACAATGAACCACTTTTTTATTAAAATTTGTTTATGAAAGGAAACTAACACTAGACACGCTCCACCCTCTGAAATTGACTCTGGACTGACTCCACCCTCTGAAATTGACTCTGTACTGACTCCGCCCTTTGAAACTGAACCTGGACTGACTCCACCTTCTGAAACTGACTTTG